AAGCACAGCCCCAAGGCCGAGCGGGAGCTGTTTAGCGCTCGACTGGGGCAGCTTGGCTGCTTTCTGCAGACTGCATCTCTGGATTGTGTCTCCAGGGCAGGTCAGGAGCTTTGTGTCTCTTTGGTTTGCAGAGCCAGATGGCAGAGGAGGTCTCACCAGGAGATGGCCCCTCTTCCCCTGCTGCCAGCACCAACCAGGTGCCCCAGGCTGTGCCTCCACGTGACACAGAGAACCTAATGTGCCCGATCTGCATGGACACCATTAAGGACCAAGTCTCTGTGAGCTGGTGCAGCCACTCTTTTTGCTTTCCTTGCATACTGCAATGGTCCCGCAACACAGCTGTGTGCCCGATCTGCAGGGAGCCCTTCCAATACCTCCTCCGCAAGGTGGGAGACAATAATTATGAGGTGTACTCCATAGGGCACTACATCAGCTTTGTCAGGCCTAATCGAGCACAGAGAGCTCGTCGCGGCTCTGCAGGAAGGAGGCGGAATCGCTTCACAGGCCGCCAGCAGCGCGGCTCTTCCAGCAGGGAGCGTGGCACTGGCCGTGCCAGGACCCGAGAGAGGGAACGAAGCAGGTCCCCGAGGCGGCACCACAGGAGCCACAGCAGGGGTCAGCACGCCCAGGACTATGACTCCTCGAGCAGCAGGAGCCAGCAGCAGAGTTGGGCTGAAGACACGTCTACTGACACCTCTAGTGATGAGGACCACGCTGAAAGGCCTGAACAGGATGCCCCAGTCCGCTCAGAGAGGAGCGAGCGCCGCCAGCGAGAACGAGGGGGTTCCTCCCGGGAATCACGGGTGGCAAGGAGCCGATCCCAGAGGAGGTCCCGCAGTCCTGACAGGCGCAGGGACAGGTAGCACACCCAACCAAGAAGGGTAATGCTGTATATCCTGCTACTAGTGCCATGAATTAGAAAGCTTCACACCAAAACTGCTCCTACTTCCAACTCAAAAATAAAGTCAAATACAACTGTCAAGCTTGAGGCGTAGGATCATTTAAAAATGCATCCAAAAATCCAGAGACCTATGCAAGGCTGCCCAAGGTTGTGAGGATAACAAGCTAGAAGCTATAAGCTAGAAGAAATGCCTTGAGATGGTTTATTTCTAAAACAGAACATAGAGCTGGGCATAAACAGTGAGGTCTGTGACTTTATATGAAAAATACAGCAAGGGAATTCTGTTTGACAGGGAGTCAGTCTAGTGAAATAAGCTATCTGGGAAGCTTTTGTTCCCTGAGGCCAGGGCTTCTGTGTTCTATGGGTAGTCCCTGAAAGCACTGTGATGTCACCACAGTCATCGTGACATGTGTGACAATCTGTTTTGTGGCGTGGGGAAGCCCTGAAGGATCAGAGTGCCCACCCTCCTCCTGTGGGAACAGACATCTGCAGTTGAGGAGAGCATGGAACCCCATCCCGTTGGCTGCCTCCTGAGAGCATAGAGAGGATTTGCAGGGTGGTGACAGTGGCAGGGCCTGGGTACTGGTATGGACCTGCCGCATGCCCAGGCTCCAGATGCTGTTGCTGAGAGGCCAGGAACCTCATCCCCACCTTCCCAATTCCTGCTTGCACATGTCAGAGAGGTCAGTCACCGCCCTGCCCCGAGCTGTCACATGCAAAGACACCTCTGGTGTCACTCATCTGTCTCAGGATAGTCCTTGGTACTTGTAGCACCCTAAGCACAGCCCCAAGGCCGAGCGGGAGCTGTTTAGCGCTCGACTGGGGCAGCTTGGCTGCTTTCTGCAGACTGCATCTCTGGATTGTGTCTCCAGGGCAGGTCAGGAGCTTTGTGTCTCTTTGGTTTGCAGAGCCAGATGGCAGAGGAGGTCTCACCAGGAGATGGCCCCTCTTCCCCTGCTGCCAGCACCAACCAGGTGCCCCAGGCTGTGCCTCCACGTGGTTCTGAGTGCCCAATCTGCCTGGACATCATTAAGGACCAAGTCTCTGTGAGCTGGTGCAGACATACTTTCTGCTTTTCTTGCATACTACAATGGTCTTGCATCAGACCTGTCTGCCCAAATTGCCAGGAGCCTTTCCAGTACCTCTTCCGCAAGGTGGCAGACAACAATTACGAGGTGTACTACATTAGGTTTGACAGGCCTAATCGAGCACAGAGAGCTCGTCGCGGCTCTGCAGGAAGGAGGCGGAATCGCTTCACAGGCCGCCAGCAGCGCGGCTCTTCCAGCAGGGAGCGTGGCACTGGCCGTGCCAGGACCCGAGAGAGGGAACGAAGCAGGTCCCCGAGGCGGCACCACAGGAGCCACAGCAGGGGTCAGCACGCCCAGGACTATGACTCCTCGAGCAGCAGGAGCCAGCAGCAGAGTTGGGCTGAAGACACGTCTACTGACACCTCTAGTGATGAGGACCACGCTGAAAGGCCTGAACAGGATGCCCCAGTCCGCTTGAGGAGGAGTGACCGGCATCAACAGAGACACCAGGTTTCCTCGCGGGAGCCCCAGGCAACAAGGAGCCGATCCCGGCGGACATCCCACAGTCCTGATGGTCACAGGGGCAGGTAGAACACCCTACCAAGAACGGTACTACTGTTTGCCCTGCTATTAGTGCCATGAATTAGAACGCTTCACACCAAAACTTCTACTAGTAATTTCAAAAATAAATTCAAATCCAACCAAGCTTGGGGCCAAGCATCCGAAAATGCACCTGAAAATCTAAAAAGACCCTTCAAGGCTGCTGAAGGTCATGCTTTAGTGTTGCTTTTCTCATCCTGTTCTATGTTACACTCATTTATAAAAGCTTGTACTTAACATTTTGTATCGATGTGCCTTTTCTCCCTATATTGCATTTCCACACTATGATAACTGAAGATGAAAGGAGAAAAATCCTTTCTGCCCTGGTACCAACAACACAAGTGGGTTATTATATTAGATAACATCTTGTCCCTCCACATCATCCATTTTTTCACACTTTACTCCAAATATCCCCCAGAATAACTTCTCATCTTACCACTCTTCTCACAAGGTGGCAGTGATAACTGAAGATGGTTTACAATCACTCTGCTGAATCACAGAGACTGCCTATGATGCCAATCCAAAACTAACACTGGTAGCAAGCCTCTGAGAAGCCTATTTTCTTCTTCTTTCTCCTTACAGACTTTAAAAACAGTCCCCAAAGCCTTTAGAGAGAAATTTGTTCGCATGGTATGCTCTGTAAACAGCCTCACCTTTAAATGCCCGCAATGGGAGTACATGCTTCAGACTCTTCAGACCTCATCCAAAGACATTTAAAAACAATGGTGGACCAAGAACACTATTACTTTCAAGTAAGACTGGTGCAAAGAGGAGCTTTCTCAAATGATAGAGGCGATTTGAAAAATTACTGGACCAAGACAAACTACTCAATTTTTGTATTGAACTACAGTCATCCTCTACCTGTATACTCCTTGTGTCAGTCCATGACTAGGACTGCCACAGAGCATTAAGGATTAGGAATTCTGATCAAGACCAAGCTGCTCACTTGCTCACTCACAGCACTGAAACACATCAAATTGCATTGGTTGTGAATTATTGACTGCTGCAGTCACTCCATCATCCAGACTGATCTGCCTTTGTAAAGCCATGCTGTCTATCTTGGATCACATCCTTGTCTTGTATGTGATTTAGCATTGCTTGCATGAGGATCTGCAACATTATCTACCCAGGCACAGAGGTCAGGTTAACTGGTCTGTAATTCCCCAAGTCTTCCCTGCTTCCCTTTTTAAAAATAGAAGCGATGTTTCCCTTTTTCTAATCACCAAGGACGCTGCCTCACTGCCATGACTTTTGACATACGATGGAGAACAGTTTGGCAACGACAGAGCTCAGTTGCCTCAGGACCCTGGAATGCATGTTGTTAGGCCCCATAGACTTGCAGTCGTTCAGTTTCATCAAGGGGTCCAGAACCTGCCCTTTCTTTAGAGTGGGAGGGACTTCACTCCTCTGACTCCCACCTAAAGGTTTCAGGAACTTGAGAGATGTGGGAAGCCTGACTCCCAGCCAGTGACAACTGAGGTGAAGAACTCATTGAGTACCTCAGCCTTCTCCATATCTATTGTTAACAGTTCTCCTTTCTCATTTATATGGGTCCTTTATCTTCTTGGCCTTTGTCTTCTGATCTAGGTCCTTACAGAATCTCTTCTTGTTATTCTTTGCATCGCTGGCCACGTCTAGTTCCATCTGTGCCTTGGCTTCCTTTACCCTGTCCCTACATGTCTGAACTATATCCCAGTACACTCCCCAGGTCACCTGTCCCTGCTTCCACCGGCTGTGCATTTCCTTCTTTCTTCTCAGTTTGAGGAGCAGACCTTTGCTCAGCCATGCTCGCTTCTGGCCTGCCTTGTGTATGTCCTACACATTGTGAGGGAAAGTTCTTGTGCTCTAATAAAAGTGGCCTTTAAGACTTGCCAGATTTGGTCAGTCCCTCTGTCGTTAAGGACAGTTTCCCAAGGGATCTAATTCACCCAGTCCTTAAACATATTTAAATTTGCTCTTCCAACCTTCAGGATTCTGATTTTTTTCCTTGCTAGGCCTATGCTCCTGGAGATTACAAACTTCACCAAGGCATGGTCATTACAGCCTGGGCTGCCTCCAGGCTTAACTCCTCTGATGAGCTCATCTACATCAATGAGCACCAAGCCCCGGGCCCAGTAATGCTTCTCCTCAGTTGGTCTGCCCCACACCTAGACCAGGAAGCTATCCAGGAGTGTCCTGGATTGCTTATAACCAGCTGCATTGCTTTCCCAGCGGATGCCCAGGTGGTTGAAATCCCTCATCAGGATGGGAGCTTGTGAGCAAGCTGTGTCCTGTAGCCGAACCAAGGTGGCCTCGTCAACAGGCTCCCTGATCAGGCAGCCTATAGTTACCTCCACCTCCAGGTGTCCTTTGTTCGTCCTGTCCTTGATTTTCACTTCAGGCTCTCACCCTTTCTTTGATACAGAGTGCAACACTCAGCTGCAGTGTTCCAGTTGTCCCACCATGCTTCCATGATAGCAATTAGGTCATAGTTTTCTAACTGCATCATGGTTTTCAACTAATTGCTTGTTACCCATGTTGCATGCATTGGTGTAGAGGCACTTCAGCTGGGCTGTCAACTTCTTCACCTTATGGTAGAAGGCCTCTCTGATTCCTTTGGGATGACTTACGGTGCTTCCTAAGGTGTTGGTTCCTGTTTTCTCTGACGTTCAGAACACCCCTTTCCCCTATCAAATCCAGCTAATAAGTTCTGTCAGTCCCAGAACACTCTTAACCCACTTGGTCAGGTGCACCCCACCTGATGTCAACATGCCGAGGCTCTTGAAGGTGCATCCCACATCACAGAACCCAAAACCCTCAGCATAGCAGCAGCCATGCAGGCAGTCATTCATCTTATCCATTTTCTCCTTCATGCTGGGTCCCAGTCTCCAGCTGGAAAGGCAGAGGACAATATTACTTGTGTTCCTGACCCTTTCAACTTCTTTCCAAGAGACATGAAGTCCCCTTTGATATTTCTCAATCGCCTTGTTGCAGCCTAATTTGACCTTACACAAAATAGTAGTAGTGGATGTTAGTCCTCTGTTTTTAGAAGGCTTGGTAGCCTCTTTGTGATATCATGGATGTGAGCCCCTGGTAGGCAGCAAATGTCTCTAGAGAGGTGAACCAGATGGCAAATAGCTGGTTCTGTGCCCCTCAGGGAGAAGTCTTCAACAACTAACACCCTTTGTGCTTTTTTTGGCGGCACTTGTTCTAACATGGGTGGTTGATTGTTCCTACTTTGTAGCACTGCCCTTTTCTTGGTCTTGACTACTTGTTGCAGAGTCCTCTCCTTCCACTCCCAGAGCATCATATCTGTTATGTAGGGGCACATGGGTAGCAAGGGAGTCACTTGTCCTTCTGCTCCAAGCACAGGCGAGAGTCCAGTCTCACCTGCCTTGTGAGTCGGTCAGGCCTGCCAGCTCAGGCTTGAACAGTAACTTACTTTCCACTTCCAAGGACTTAAGGCAGGCCTGTCGCTCTGCCTGTGAGTACACAAAACAATGAATCTCCCACTCAGATTCCCACACAGAACTTTGCTTGGTTAGCTCCTAATACAACACAGCAACCTGCTCCGAACGCTTATCCGTCTGGGCACACCTGCACGCGTGACACCCACATCTGCCTTCGGGGGGCTTCCAGATTCTGGGGTTCCCTGCAGGCAGGGATCTCTGCCATTTTTGTTACACCATTTTTGTTACAGAAGCATGCCTCTCCTGGTTCCTCCCCGGTGAGGATTCAGTGTCCCTCCCTGCCGCCCCGCATCCTGGTTATATCCTGATTATACGCCCGCGCGCTCCTGGAGCCACTTAGCACTTCCCGCGCTTCCCCCTGGGATCGCACTCGCCCCGACAGCGCGTGTTCCTGGCGAGTTTCTCAGTTCCCGCCCGGGTGTCTCTGACTCGGGGAACCCCCAGCTCGTTCTACAGCTCAGCCCCCAGACCTGACCGTACCGCCATCGCTGTCGCCGCTCGCCTCGCCGACGGAAGATTCCGGCGTCACCGGAATCTGCCGCGGTTGCCCCTGGCAACGCCCCGGGCACATCAGTCCCGCCTGCCAGAGCTGTCGGTTCCTGCGGGACACTCAGCTCTTCACTGAATCACAGAATCACAGAATCACAGAATCACAGACTCTCCTGAGCTGGAAGGGACCCACAAAGACTATTAAGTCCGTCTCCTGGCCCTGCGCAGGACACCCCAAGAGTCACACCATGTGCCTGAGAGCGCTGTCCAAACGCTTCTTGAACTCTCTCAGGCTTGGTGCTGTGGCCACTTACCTGGGGAGCCTGTTCCAGTGCCCAACTACCCTCTGGGTGAAGAACCTTTTCCTACTATCCAGCGTAAACCTCCCCTGACTCAGATTCATGCTGTTCCCTTGAGTCCCGTCCCTGGTCACTGGAGACAAGAGATCAGTGCCTGCCACTCCACTGACCCTCACCAGGAAGCTGCAGACAGCTGTGAGGGCTTCTCCAGGCTGAACAAGTGACCTCAGCTGTTCCTAGTATGACTTGTCCTCTAGACCCTTGCTTGGTTGTCCCTGAGTCCAGGAACCCCCTGCCCAGTTTGGTCTCATACTCAGCCCCCAGAATTTACTGTAGCCACCTCTGCTGTCCCTACTGTTGCTGTGAGCCTCACTGACTGTCCCTAAGTCTTCCTCTTAACTTTTGAGATGCATCTTACACTTCTCAAGCTTTATGAGACATAACACAAGCAACATTTATTCCCTTTTAAGACTCTAGCTTAAATACCCATTGTTTATCCTCCTGAGAAGTTTTGCTTTCAAAATTCAGGAAACAAAGCTGAGCCTAATAGACTTGACTAGAATATCTTCCTTTAGGCAGAACAAAACTGTAAAAAATACAAATCTTTCCCAATAATTCCTCTCCTCTGATGTAGGACAAGGCTGGTGGCATGGAATGGCTGGTCCTGGTGATGGCCAGTGAAAGTGGTGGGTCCTGCAGCTTTTTCTACCACAAGGGACTTTGTGACTGTGGGAACACTGTGATGAGCTGTAGAAATTCCAAAGCAAAAGCCCACCAAGGATTTCCCATGCATGTTTAACCATATGAATACTACTATGCTAATAATTCCTTAATGTTATTAATTTCTATTGCATTGATGAGTAGAGGTCCTTATTAGCATGGCACTGTGAACAACACCTGAGCAGAAGAATTCACTACTTTAGTAAAGAAAGTATATTGCAAGAAAATGAAAAAGTGAGGAAGCAGTGAGGGTATGTCATTCTGCCAGAGCGTCTGCTCAGCCGTTGCAAGGTGTTTTATAGGTGCTGTGCTGTAAGTAAATGGATTAGAAGAATAATTTAAAAGAAATTACTGTTCTTTCTCCTTCCTCCTGACCTCTTATCTCTCACAGACACAGACAGCTTTAGCAGAGAGATTCATTGCCTTTTCATACTAATGTTTTCAAATATTTTTTAATGTGTGTACATGAAATGCCAGAAGTTCCTTCTGTATCTAGCAATACTTCCTTTTTTCAAGTACTGGGTGCACAGTAAAAGGACATTCAGATTATACCAATATACTTTTGTGTCGATTTTTTTTATTATACCTCAATCAGCAAACCATTTATCCACTGCTGGCACACACACAACTTCTGAAATCCTTTGCTCTCATATTTTTCTTAATTACCCTTCTTCATTGTCCTAGGGCTTCTCTTTGTGCAGCAAAAAGAAGGTGGCACTTCAAACCAATTTCAGCTGAA